GGGGGGGGGGGGTGTCTGGTCAAAACCCCGAGCCCCTTTCACGTTGTCCATCAAACGGGAATCTTGCTTAAAAAGCTGCGCATGGGTTGAAAATATTAACAACCGAAGCAAGTGTTATTCAAGTATGGATCCCGCTTCATTGGGCTTGATTTTTGGCACGGACAAATGAATGCCGGTTATGTCTCTGATGGGCCAATTGCGCGGAAATCCCTGTTTGAAAGGGGCAACTCTATCTTTCCACCTTTGTAGATAACGGGAATTACCCTTGGCTTTGCCAAGAGAATCCAGGTGAACATGAGGTACGGACCCTCCAAGATCATCACGTAAGTTGCATTTTTGTACGTTTGGGCTTTGGCGTTTTGCGGCCATCGGTATGTACCCGCTCTTGCTATCGATGTTCTGCTTGTGCGTAGGGTGTTGAAGAAAATCAACGAAAGCATCATTTTCCCTTTGGTCTGGATGAACGAGGTAACGACACCGATGCCGCCGCACGCAATCTTTTGGGCTTTTTCTCAACGCGTCCGACGTTTTGGTTTCAGACGGCGCAACTGGACGACGATTCTGCGAGCCTGCTCAAGGAGGAGCTGGTGGACCGGATCAAGATGCTGGACGTAGTCCAGAAGGTCCTGCTGGGCGCGGGCCTGGCCGTCTTCGCCCTTTGCCTCATTTCGTACATCGCCGTTCGGTGCAACGATGAGTCGGAAACCGTTTGATGCTGCTCTTTTGATACGGACTTATTATTTACAATGTCCCCCGTCACTTTGATAGTCATACTGTGATTTTTGTAAAGGGTAAAACTTGACTTTGAGTCGTGTCACTTTAATTCAAACAATCAGGGATTCGGGGCCTTCAAGTGCAATCCGAGAAGCCATTTCAAGGCTACGTGATGTCCGACATAATAATTCTGTTGATTTGTGTTTATAAGTTTTGTTGCTTCAAAGGAATAAAAGCAAAAGTATCGCTTTGTTCCCTTTTACCATAAGCGCTATGCTATGAGCGGGATATGGCTTTATTGAGTCGAAATGCCTGGGAAAGAATAACAAAAAAAGATTTCTTTGACTTATCCTGTGTGAATTGTGCGAGAGAACGCGTACTCAGCAAAGTGTCAGACGGCAGATCGATGGCTGACGCTACGACGTGACCAGAAAGAACACCAAAGTGCATTCATATTCAAAAGCAAGACTTTTTATACTGCACACCAACACTGAAAAATATCACTCAGGAAACGGAAGCTAGCTATCAGTAGCTTAGTTAGCATCAAACAAACGCCACTGGAAGTGTTATTCTGAACGACTCAATGACAAATGAAGGTCATTATTGAGACTGTGTGAAAAGGCCTCAAATAATTTCAATGTAAACTTTGCGGTTTTGTTGCTAACGCCCGTTAACTAGCGCAAAGCTAACAAAATTACAACCAAGGACAAGAATTGAAATCTTTCTTTAGAAACCAGTTTTTTTAAGACGCGGTACTGTGGCGTTAGCGTGTTAGCTTAGCTTCGAAGCTCACAGAGATGCAATCTCAGCTAAACACATTTATTCAGGACATCAGTTCCACGAATAAATAGAAAGGGTTGCTTACATGGTGCTTGAAACGCCACGTCCCTAGCGACATTAACTGATGATCTGCAAAAAATAAAATAAAATAAAAATCACATTCAAATCAAGTGTCTGCGAATTGCAGATACCGTCATATTGTATTTACACAGAAGAAGAGCGCGTATTCACATTAAATAAGAGAACGTAATCTTTATCATCACCTCCCTGAACTTGGCCGTGGCGGTGAGTGAGAGCCGCGCAGCTGTGCGGTGATGGATTACGCCGAGCGCATCGATGAGTCGGCCGTATCCTTTGCAGAGGCCAAATCCAACACCGTTAATCACGCCGCCCCCATCCCGTATACAGTAGATGCCAAACGTAACCAGATGAATCACCCCCACCGAGCACAAATCATCCTGATTAAACAACATGAACCTTAAAACAAAAAGTGCTGGTGCATGGCGCCGTCATGGAACCCTCCCCCCGATAACAAATCATCCCGATTAAACAACATGAACCTTAACGCTAACAAAAAGTGCTGGTGCATGGCGCCGTCATGGAACGTTGCATAACCCTTTGGCAGTCGACAATATTGATAAGAGCGTTTACTTGGAGTGTCAGCACGGCCGATGCAAATCTGTTTCTAATCAGATCAGTCCGCTTATAAAAAAAGTGCCCTTCTGTCCTTTGTGCGCATCATCTTTGTTTACCCCCCCTCCGTTTTTCAGCAAGTGGAAGAACAAAAGCTTCAAAACAGGAGGGAGTCGAACAAGGATTTGAAGGAATCTTATTCGATGCATGGAATGTTTATTCGCATGAGCGTTGTCTAAGCATTTGCCTGGGACTTGCTCTTGTCAACCTTTCGACTGGTTATCAACTGCTCAGATCGCCTCAACTGATACCTGCCTCTTGCCTGACTGAACATTAAACCCTGGCTCAGCGTATATAAGCGTTGTTCTGGGGAGAAGTGCGCACCTTCTACCTGGCATCGGCCAACGCTGACGCCGAAGCCTGCGATAGGAGGCGCGCACAAAAAGAGAGAGACCGCGGAAACGCAGCCGGGCGCACGCAGAGAGAGATGGGCTGCTGTAACAGGAGGTGCGCACTCCTCACCGGAGCCGTCGTCGGGGCGGCGGTGGCCCTGCTGGGGGGCATCCTGATCCCGGTGGGGAACAATCTCATCGAGGAAACGGTCTTGCAGGTATGTGGTACCGCACGGAGATCAAGGTGAAATCGATCCGGCTCCGGGGAGTTGCTTGCGTCTGACAAGGCGGTGACAAGGGAAAAAAAAAAAACAAAAATGTCAGCAACCATCTGTGCATCAGTCTGGTTAAAAATAGTCTTATCTGCCGGGCCGTGCGCGGGGATCAAGGAAGCCGTGATCGCACCCGGAACGCCGGCGTATGAGAACTGGCTGTCACCGGGGGGAGCAGTCTACAGACAGTTCTGGTTCTTCAACGTGCAAAACGCCAGGGAGGTGGTGGAGGAAGGTGCCGCACCGGTGGTGGCGGAGAAGGGACCTTACACCTACTTGTAAGGTTTGACTCCCCCAACCCGACGACCGAGTCTTGATGTCTTTTGCACCGACGACAAAACTCTCTCAGGACCAGGTACTTACCCAAAGCG